GTGCTTCGGGCACCGCGATGGTGGGGGAGTGGGTGCCAGGGTGTTGGGGGAGCTCCCTCTTCGCCTGGCAGTGAACTGCATGTGAGGGCGTTAAATCTGAGCCGAAAAGGGGGTTTGCCCCTTTCATGGGAGATAGCATTGGTTTTACTGCAATATATTCATTTACGAAGGCCACCGTGTGCTCCCCGTCAGGGATGTGATACGGAGCCATCGGATGGTGCCATCCTTAGACCATCCCAAAGCTCGGTTCTTGTTATTGCTCAGCTGATGGCTTAACAGTTCACTTTTTCTCTGTTTGCCTCTTGTCAAGTAGAAGTGGTCCAAGGGGAAAGTGAGGGACAAGTTGAACAACCTGGTCCTGTTTGACAAGGCCACCTACGACAAACTCTGCAAAGAGGTGCCCAACTACAAGCTCATCACACCCGCAGTCGTCTCAGAGAGACTGAAGATCCGAGGCTCCCTGGCCAGGGCTGCCCTCCAGGAGCTGCTCAGCAAAGGTGGGCGCTCAATGCTGCAGAAAGCAGCTTCACTTGGATGTGTTCTTCTGCTTGCTCACCTAGAAGAGTTCACACTGCATCTGAAGTGTGTGAATTGGTGCATTTTTGGCAACCCGCTGCCTTAGCTTGCATTTCAAAAGCACCCCAAAGTGAGGAGCAGCAGCTCTGCTGCACTCAGGGGCTTTGCCATAGTAAGAAAATGCTGCCAGAGTGGCTGGGTGTGATATAATTGTTGCCAGACCTAACAAACACCTCGTATAAGCGTGTATAGAACTGGTGACCCTGGTATTGCCTATCACGCGTTGCCTGGTCTGCCACTTTGGAAGGGAGCACAACGTCCTCCAGTGCCCGTGTGCTCACATAGCTTCCTTTTCTTGTAGGTTTGATCAAACTGGTGTCCAAGCACCGAGCCCAGGTGATCTACACCAGGAACACGAAGGGCGGCGACGCGCCCGTGGCAGGGGAGGACGCGTAGGGAGGTGAGGACGTGGGGGTCCGGGCAGGGCTTTGGGAGCTGCTGCCTCAACCTGGGTCTGATCTGGGCCTTTTGCTTTGCAGGTTCTCCAGCGACCTCAACCGTGTGTCATATGTAGATGCATACAATAAAACTATTGAAATGACTTTTTCTTGCTTTTCCAAGAACGTGTGTGTTGCATTATTGATGTGTTATTGCACGATAGTGGGTTTTGGTGCAGGTCATGGCTGTTTTCCTTTCCAGGCAGTTTTTGTGTGTGTACTGTTAACAGTGAACGTGCTTTTGTGTTGTGAAAGGGGAAGGAACTCTTGCATCCCCTGCAGCTGTCGGTGATGCTAAGCTGTATTCAGTTCTAATAGGAGGAAAATTGGCCATTTCTTGCATTGCGATAGGGCGCGTGCTAGTGGGATATTTTCATTATTTGAACTCTGAACAAGCTGTGCCCAAAGATCTCTGCAAGGCAACAGCATCCATCAGGCCAGTGTCTCATGGGGAGCACTAACAAGCAGCTCTGAGTAAGGCTGTATTTTATTGAAACAAAAAGTTTTTAAGGCCGCCTTTCTTCTGCTGAGGACTAAGAAGTTGTCTGTTAGGTGAGGCAGAACGAGGAAAAGGGATATAAATTAGCATGGAAACACCGGGGCTGTGGCATCAACCATCCCCAAAGTGGGCCCTGCATCTGGACTGAGTTTCAGTTGGGCTGTGAACTCAGGTGACTAAAAAAAGGTTTATTTCCCAAAAATAGTTCTTTAAAGGGATGTCACACTATGGATCTGCCTCTGTGCAGCTCGGGCATTCAGAAGCTGATGCCCAGATGCACCCTGCGCGTCTGACGGGGAGTGGATCCGTGACACCCCCTGCAGCGCAGTGCTCGGCTCAGCACCGCGCTGCGCTCACCCTGCAGGGCACTGCACACCTGGATGCGCAGCATCAGTGGGAGCAGCAGCCGCGGCTGCCCCTGGTCC